CTGATAGAATGTAACCCTGGAGGTAATGTTTTTGGCATAACTCCTTCATGGAAATTTTATATCCGCAGCACCGCCCGGTTTTACCGTCCGAATAGGTGCAGCGGAGCTCGTCCGGAGCTATCATCTTCAACGCTTTCATCATCGCATCACTCTCCCATGGCGCCTGCACATTTCCAGAGGTTTCCTCTCCTTCCGCCGCAGCAGCCGCCGCCGCCGCAGCTGCACAGCAAACCGTGAGTCCGCCACTGTCGCGCCGGCTCATTATGTCAGGCGTCGGATCGCAGCAAAGCGTCTCGGTTCAAATTGAAAACCTCGTGGAGAGCATATTACTGTCAATATGTGAGCAACAGAGAGTGTCTCGTCGCATATATGGGACTAGACTGGAATGAAAAGATGGTGAACTTTAAGGAAGACAAAATTTATTTTGGACCCACAAAATATTTATTTTAAATTAATAGAATGTCCATGTTGAATTATTCCCTCCGTTTCTCGTAGATCTTTCTAATAGTCTTTTTTCTTTGTTCATAATATATCTTCTCATTTAATGTTTTAACAATTAAAATACTACAACTATCCCAACTTACTTTATTTATTACATCTCACTCACTTCATTTAACACACTCCATCCATTTTCATTAAGGGTATTTTTGTAAACTTTCACCTTTTTCAACTCTCCTTAAAAACCACAAAAAGTCAAAATGAGAAGATCTTAGGGGGACGGAGGGAGTAATAAATTGTTCATTTCGAATGAACCAAATGTTCATTTTTAAACGTAGTGTCCATTTTGAAGTCTACTTATTAATGGTTAATCAGAAACGACGTTGTGTTCAATATGAAATGCGTTCATTCAGAAACAGCATAGTGTTTATTTTGAAACAACTACGCGTTCATTCAGAAACATTTTTTCAATTACAAGTTTACTACTCCGTATGATGTATAAAAAGAAAAGTACATCCAGTTGTACATTATATTTTGCGGAATACCTTGGTCTTTACTAAAATACTTTTAAAATTTTATATCAATATTCTCCTCCTCCTATGATTTTGAAAATTTGCACCGATGTTCCCTCTTTCTTCTTATTATATCTCTTTTTTCCTCTGCTTTTTCATAAATGTTTTAAAGTTATTTTTAAGAACTACTCCGTAGTACATTTCATTCAAGTATTGTATTCATTTAGAGTTGATGTGTTACACCATTTTAACATATATTTTTTATAATATGTTTCATACATAATTAGTTATACATCTAAAAAAAGTTTATGAACTTTATTAATCTTTTAAAAAAGAAAGCCTAATGTTGTTTCTAACAAAGTATTCATCATTTTCTATTTTATTACATCTCAAAATAAAGGTTTATATAATTTTTAGTACATGTACATCAATATTAAAACTAAAACTTTTCTCTCAAAAAGAGATATTTTATACTAAAAAATATTTATCAAACACATCATATATCATTAGAGAATTTAAAATAAATAATATTTTATTTTTTAGATGTCAAAATTTAGAAAATATGCGAGCATACTAGTTTGTAATGTAGATTTAGCATGCTAGTCCCAAATCATTTTTGTTATTATTTTAAAATATGAAACGTGATGTAAAATTATTATTTTTTGGTCGACACATCATTAGATTATTTTTGTCTATTTTTATTTCAATCGAGATTTATAAAATGTATTTCTTCATTCGCCCTCTTATTTTTGTTGGCAAATTCTTCCATTGTCTTAGTCTATGCTAGTGCATTGAGATCGTAAGTCAATTGAGCTTTTGGCAAAAAAAAAGTTTCACTAGTCAGTTTATGAAAAGTGTGAGAATGTCCACATTTAATGTGTAGACCTTAGGATCGAGAAAGAACAATTCATTTTGGTTACGTGGATTATTGGCATGCAAATTAAGAAAAGAAAAATTACTACTATATGATAATTTAAGAAATCCTCATAGATAAGAGTAAAAAGTATGGAAATGTCAGAATATGAGTTTCAAATCTTTTAAAACTAAAATAGGAGTATATTAGGATTAATGAAAATGTGATGTAAGAATACACATTGATAGTGCGTGTGATGGGAAATGATGACAGTGTAATACGGTAGTGTGATCAGTTAAATGTCGATGATTGATAGCGGCACTATGGTGGCCAATGACAATGGATGATAGTGTGATAGTTGTAGCGGGACAATGTGGTGAGTATGAGAATTAATTAATAATATGTCAACTTTTATTTTGATCTTAAAAGACCTATGACTCTTATTTTAGTATTTTCGTAGTTGTTTACTCTTATCTAAGGAGTTTTTGTTTATATAATTGACATTGATTTTTAAAAGTAAAAAAGAATGAGTGAGTTTGAGTCACAGAAATATTACTCTGATTTGGGACATAAATATACTGACATAGGAGAAAATAAAAAGACATTGAAAAATTTAAAAAGAAAAGTATAAATTATTAAATTCATTAAGAACATACTCCCTCCGTCCCAGAGTATTTGTCCATTTTCATTTTTACACATCATCCAATACACTTCTTTCATCTATTTTATCTTGTAATTTGTATATTGAAAAATTATAGAAATTATATATTAATAATCTATATGTTAAGACAAATCAAACAAGATCACACATGACTATATTTAGGCTTACACATTAAAAGAATTTGATGAGTCAAAGTGCTTAGATGAATAGTTCCAAAAGTCAAAAGTGGACGAATATAGTGGGACGGAGGTAGTATTTTTTAGAGTTTAAACTCTTAACTTCTAGTTTTTTCAATTCCTTCGAGTTTCTCCTAGTTTCTTCCATTCCAATATCTCCAACTATTCTCTTTTCATACTCTCCAAATAATGACTCAAAAAATAACGTGTTTTCATATACTATTATTATTACTATTATTATAATTATTGTTGTTATTGTTAATACATTCATAACTATAGTTTAATTTTCAAATGTTCAATTTTTATTTTTCCCATATCACTATTTTTGTGATTCACACTAATTATTATTTTTCCTTCCAATTTTAATATAAATGATACGGATTACAATTTTATCAGGAAATGTTTTTTTATTAATTTACATGACACTAAACATTGTTCTAAAAATTAGAGATATTTTATTAATCAAAACTGATATAGGAAAAATGTCAATATTTTAGGTTAAAAAATAATAATTATACTATTCCCTCTTTGCCTAATTAAATGGCATGTGCAGAATTCACGTGGTCAAATGTAATTCACTTTTTTTATCTATAGCAACAACAACAACAATTATAATAAGAATAATATGTAATACACACTTAAATAAATTTTTGAAGTTCTATTTTTCCAATTTCTAGTTCTCTCTAGTTTTTCCAATTTCTTTTAATTTTTTCAATTTCTTCCAACATTCATCTCTTTTTCGAGTTCTAAACAATTCTCGTTTTGATTTTTAGAAGATTTATTATTAGAATTTGACATTCTAATTATATTTCTTCGAAGAAAGAGAGATACAAATAGCATAAATAACGCATTATATCAACATAAAATGAATAAAAAATATTGTAATGACTTTATCTAGACATATCAATCATTTTTTAATAAAATTGGGAGTCTTTTGAAGTAAAAGAGGGGAGGGGGGTGGGGGTGTATTCAATAAGGATTCTGATGATTTTTAATTTTATATTTCAAAGTCTGTTGGTATTCAATTCAGATTTGAAAAAGTTATTTAAAATCTAGATGTATTCAACTAAGATTTTTACAAATCCTTCTAAATATGGTGGCATTCAAAAATTGATAGATTTTTAAAGATTTTTAATAATGTAGATTTTGATGAATTTTCATACCTTGCATATAAATACAAATTCGGATACCAAATCCTAACAACATCCCTATGATTTTGCAGACTCTTCTTCTTCTGATTAATCCAGATTTCCCTCAACCAGGACTTTATCTTCTCTTCTTCGATTAGTGTAGCGGCAACACCAAGAATATTGAATCGATGATGCAGACTTTTCTTATTTTCTTATCTTCTGCCTTGCTTATCTTTCAGTGCAACAAGGACTAGGATCTCTGCCTTGCTTATCTTCTTATCCTTGCAACCAAGACCTCTGCCTTTCTTATCTTCTCCTTCGATCAACCATTTCGATGGAGACTTCATGACTTCTAGTGCCAATTGAATCGATGATGAAGATCCAGACTTTCAGGGGTGTTGTCAACCAATTCGATGCAGACTTCCAGACTTTAGATGGCTATCGTACTCAAAATTGATGGAAGAAGGCCCGATGATGCAAGATGGCTATTGTACCTTAGAAATACATATAAATCAATAAAAGAGTATGGCCAAAATTCACGTAAATCAATTAAAAAGTAGGTCAAACTCTATATGGAATTTATGGATTTTAAATCCTTTGACCTTTTAAAGTTAAAAAAATCTTAGAATGCACCCGTCCTAAGTCTCTATTCCATACGCCTGACCTGATTAAATCTGATTTAAAATTTTAAAGTTCTGATCTGGTCTGATCTGATTGAATTTGATCCAATCTGATTAGATCTGATATAATCTGATTGGGTCTGATTTGATCTGATCTGGTCTGTTCTAAATGAATTTGATTGGATTTGATTTTATCTAATTAGGTGTGTGTAGTTTTAAATAAAGTAATGTGATTTAATCAAATAATAGTAATTATTATTTAATACTTGAAAAATATAAATACAGTATCAATTTTCTTGATTTGATATTAATTAATTTGATCTGTTCTGATATGATAGGATATAATTCAAACTGATTAGATTGATATAATTTAATTGGATTTTATCTCATCTAAATGAATCTGACCTAATCTATTTAAATTTGTTCTGATATGATTTTAATAAGAATAAACAAAATAAAATAAAATGAAATAAGTTTGAAAGGTACTCGGGCCTTCAGGAGACAAGTGGTTGAGGAAAGAAGGATTTAGCGCGTCGTGAGAGGAAGTTCCATTGAAGACAGGAGAAGAACTTCAAGAAGCCATCGTTTAGGGCCGATCGGCGATTACCGATTTATATCTTTTCCAGCTAAAAGATCTGCAGAGTAATAAATTCTGGAGCATTGGTAGCTGGAGTTTTGATTCTCCGTTTATTTATTTAGATATTTCTTTCGTTTCCATTGCGGAAACAAAAAGATACATTTCCCGATGAGATGCTTCGTGACCACTGTGGTGTGGATGTATATATTTTCTATATTCGGCTACGCATTTTCCCATCCGAATCAGTATGAATCCGAGTCAACCTGCCCCCGCAGTCATCACTCTCCCGCGTTTCTGCACGAGCTGAATTTCCAGAGCTCTCTTCCGATCTCAAGTCCATCTTTGCCAATGGAGGTATGGTTATTTTTGTATCAATATCTAATATCACTTTTTTATATTTAATTTGTTGTCAAAGTTCACTAATTTCCAGAGAAAAAGTCTAAACAATAAGGAAGGGAGAGAGTAAACATTATGGTTTGCTTTATTGGGATGACGGAATAATGGGGAAATGATTTAAATTCCATGGGATTAGGTAAAGGCGTTCATTTTTTAGTGAAAATCAGCAGTCCGTTTATTGTTATTCATATCAAAATTGAGTGAAACTTGAATAATTGCTGGAGGACTAGAGCCCCACTCAACTGATTCAGTCATTAAATCTGATGGCCTAGCAAGAGTATGACCCAATCTGTTCCCAGAAGGTTCTAATGCAAAATTGTAAATGGAGTAAAAACTCTTAGAAGTGTTTTATATGGTGCGTTTGGGAATAACATTTTCGATTAGCATTAGCATTTTGGATAAATTTTAACGGTACAGATTAATTTTAAAAATGCTAACACTAAACGCTGCCCGTAGATAGCCTTTTCAAAACCATAATCTTGATTGATTGAACTAAAATAAGAATAATCTCCCCTATTGAATCCAAAGCCTCCTTCACGAGCTGATTATCATGATCTGGGAAATGATGGAGACTTAAAGAAGAGCAATGGTAGACCAAAAACACCATTCTCTTAATGTTAAAGAGGGAAATTATTGCTTATTCTTTAGCTAACTGCCCAACTCTGATAATGTTGGGATTAAGGCTTGGTTGTTTAGTTGTGAATGACTGCAATGCATATTGTAATTAGAATTGAAATACTCTGGCGGGATGGAAGTGTATAATGGATGAGTTTTCTGTAGATTAGACTTTTAAATAGTGGGATTTCATTTGACTGGGGATTTTTGTATGGCGTTTGAACTTGTGTATGAAATTGATGGGATCCTCATCAAAGTATATAAAATTGATATTAGAGACAAACATATGAGTGCCATTCTTCTTTCAATGATGTGATGCCACTTATTTTTCTTTTCGCATATCTAACTGTTTTTTTAGTTTACTAAAGCATATTTTTTGTAATTTTAATTGAAGATGGATGGAGATTTTCTTGACAAGGCCTTGAACTCTAGTCAAAAGAACGTACATACTGCTGTTTTATTCTATGCGGCATGGTGTCCTTTCTCTAGTGATGCAAGACAAACTCTTTACACTCTTAGCTCCATGTTTCCACAGATCAAGCATGTAATGGTTGAAAAATCTGCAACAATGCCAAGGTATATATGTTGCATATTTTTGGTTTCTTGAAGTTTGGTTGATGTTTAGGTGCATGTTATGTATGTGGTAATACTTTATAGACAACTCTTAAAATTGCCAGCATTGCTAGAATGCCAAGAGAGGAGAGGGGAGGCATGGAATTTTCTAGATTAAGGTGGTTTGGGCATGTTTGAAGGAGAAGCATGGATGCTCTTTTTCAGAGGAGGTGTGAGAGGTTGGCTGCCTAAGCAGGCAGGCCAAAGAAAAGTTGGATTGAGGTGATTAGATAGGATTTGATATTTCTGTAGCTAACCAAGAGCATGGCCATAAATAAGAACCTTGGGTGGTTGAGGGCTAGAATTGTATGGTAAACTTTGGTATGACTGGTCAGTTGTGTTGGATCCTAATCTTTGTTTTTTAGCCATGGATCTTTTGGAAACATCTCTACCTTTTAGGTAGGTGTAGAGTCTGCATACACCCAACCCTAGATCCCACTCATGGGATTTTACGTATTAGGTTATGAGAATAATTCTTCTCTTGTTATCTCTCAAAATATCTTCCCCACCTGGTTTTCAATCATCATTAGTCTCCCTCTTTGGATGACCTTTTATTTTTATGCTTGGCTGTTTTTTGAAATTATAAATGTAGCCTCTGTCTAGGAAATTCTCTTCCCTTTTTATTGCAAGAGATTTCCCAGATGAGCTAGGTAGGCATCCCGCCCTCAAGTATTCTTTCTCATTTGTATCCATGTACATAATTTGTTATTGCTTCTCTCTCTACTAACAATGGCCCACCCAAGGATGACATGTCCTTCGCAATCTTAGCTCAGCTCATTTGAACGATATCAAAGCAAGGGTGACTCATCAAATAAAGGCATACCAACATCTAAACACCTCAAATGAATACATAACTATGTTGTTAAATGTTAGTATGCTTTTTTTACCTTAGGGCTAGGGGTAAGATCAATGTAAATCTTGCCCCCAAAATCAACTACCGCCTGAACTTTACTCGATTTGTTTGGTTTACTTTGCATTTATCATATTTTTTAATGGGGGGGGGGGTCATTTTATGCGTGTGAATTAGTGGTATATATTTGATCGCCTTTTTGCCACAAATGTTAACATGCATGATGCATGTGCATGTACAAGTGCAACTTTGAATTTCAATCCCTTAGTTTATTAGGTTGGTAAGCAAAACCTTTTTATAATTTAGAGAAGTCATATGTTTAATGGGACCAAGAAGAAAATTGTCTAAAATATATAAAGCAAATATGTTTAATGTGGCATCAAAGAAATTAAACAAGAGATGTTATCACATTGAAACTTAGGTGAAAAAATAAAGAGAGTGAACATGAGAAATCTAGAGGAGCTTATTGATAGTGGGGCCTACTATCAAAATGTGAATGCATTCACTAGTTTGTCAAGTGAATACATTCATGGTCCAATGGATAGAATTGTCATAGATGCCAATCTCAAAAATGCTGGCATTCCAGAAAAAACCAATAGGTGAAAGGGAAGCTAAGGAGATAATTTGTCTTGATGTGGGAAGACTTTATATTGAAAATGGTATTTCGTTCAATGTTGATAATTCCCCATCATCCTTAAACAAGTGTCGTGCAATTGGTAATTTTAGTAGGGGTTTTAAGCCGCCTACATACGAGTTGAGTCACTGGATCTTACACGAAGAGGTAAAAAACTCAAATTGTTGTTAATGAGGTGAAGAGGACATGGACACAAACTAGAGTGTCGGGGGAAATATATGTAGGGAAGACACTAAAAGATGATGAAGATCCTTTGGTGATGGATGATATTCCCTTTTGATGATGAATGAGGTGTTGATGAATTTGATATGACTATTGAGAGTGGTGGTGTTGGTTGTTCACGGTAAGTGTTAACTTTTTCACTTTAGCTTTTTCACGGTAAGTGTTGTTTTCTTTTTTGTTTTTTATTTATACTTTAATTCTTTTACTTTTGGAGGGTTGAATAAAAGTTAAAGGGAATTTTTTGGTTTGCAAATGTCAGTTTTTGATATAGTTTTAAGTTTTGTTTACTTTTTTTAGTATTTCAAGTAAATTTTTTGTCAAGATTTACAAATCTAATTTTAGAATTATTTTATGCAATATATGAAATTATGGAGTTATTCATCATATTTTTTATTCATCTCATAACAGATGGGGGACAACAAAATCAACTAGAACTACAACCCATCTAGCGAACCCAAATGAAAGGCCAACTCCAACTATCCTAGGATAGGCCCGATTTGACCAAAAAGATGTTATGGAGTGTTCACTATAAATAAATATATTTATATTTATTTTAAAGAATATATTACTTATTATGACTTTTTGACTAATCATCGACTAGTCGACTCGACTTGTTGATGTGACAGCCATGATTGGTTTTCTTTGCTCCCACAAGCCAAATATTGCTATAGTATGTCCCACCATGTTTTGGTGGGAACACGCCCTTTTCCGGTTTTGTATGGTCGTTTGTCTCCATTTGTCTTAGCTATGGGTGGGGACTACTGTTTGGATGCAATACATCAGGAGCAGATTTTAAGTGTTGCTTGTTCAAATTTGCAGCAAGCCCAAGTTCACATGAAGACCTCCAATGATGGAGTGAATCAGGGCATCTAATTTCATGTCTCGAAGTGGGTTTGGTTTCATCTTAAGCCTTGTCCACAATGACCCCAAGTGACCATTGTGCGACATGCCAATTATAAGTAGACCGGGCAAAATAGAACCGGAACCGATTACCCGAACCGAAATATCCGAAACCGAAACCGGAATGACCCAAAAAATGAAGATCCGATCTATAACCGAAAACCCGAAATGATCCAAATCAAACCGAAACCGAACTAAATAATTCATATCCGATTTAAATCCGAAACCGATAATATCCCAACCAATTAAACCCGAAACCGATTAGATCCGAACCCGATAATACCCGAAACCGATAAAATCCGAAACCGATTAGATCTGAAACCGATAATATCCGAACCCGTTTAGAACTAAAATCGATAAATTCAGAACTATGTTTGCCTTTCAATAAGCATATTATATTTTTAAAATTTTACTTTTATTATACCATTTGAACTAATTACATTACTTGCTCATTCCCTCATAAAATGGATTATCTTCTTGAAAAAAAGTACAAAATTTTATGCCTTAAATTTATTATATGTAGAAATTAAAGATAAGTTATACATATAAATGATAACGCATAAACAAATAAAATTTCCATTATTTTTAAATAGTGAAGTGTGATATTCTTTTTGGGACGAAAGGAATATATGATGAATTGTATGGAATAACTAGATTTTATCCTAATTTCATCTCATTACAATAAATTTTATTGATTTGAGAGTTAATTTGATTAGTTTCAAACCAATTCACTCAATATTAGTCAATAAAATTAGATGCTAGTGTTAGCATTTTGAAAAGACTCTCTAGCGGCAGCCTTTATTGTTATCATTTTCAAATTTAATCTACATCATTACATTTTGGTGTAAAATTAATTATACTTGACCCTATTAAATTTAATTTTCTCTATTTTCAACCAAATGTACTCAATAATTTACAAATTTTGCACTCAATTGAATAAAATTCACTTAATTTCACCCAACTTTACTCAATTTTTACCAAATTGTATTCAAATGAAACATAAGACTATTTGAATTTATCTTTTATCCTTTCATTTATATACATAAGTATATTAAGAGATGTGAGAAAAAATTTGATATTTCAAAACTAAATTTTAAAATTAATTTAATTATATTAAATTTATATCATAATTAAATATATATGTTTTCATAATTTGTAGTCCAAATTTGTAAAATATGACTAAAAAGTCAAAAGGGGAATATTATTTAGGGTAGAGATAATATAACTAGAAAAAAATACGGAGTATAAAATAATATGAGATATTGAATTGATGATAGATTGATAAATGTGATAAATCATAAAATGAAACACGGATAGTTAAATTTTAATTACAACAACAACAACAACAACAACCCAGGTAAATCCCACAAAAGTAGGGTCTGGGGAGGGTGTGTGTACGCAGACCTTGCCCCTACTCGAAAGTAGAGAGGCTGTTTCCAAAGAGACCCCCGGCTCAACGTCGAAAGTTGCATTGCTTGACTAACTGCTACTTCATTAATTAAAGAAGCGCAGACAGTTTAGAGATCCATTTTGATTTATTCCATCACACCCCAAAGCCAAAAATGGTGAAATTTTGGCTCCATCGGAGATGATGGAAATAATATATATCCAAAATATATTTGATC